CAGTATTTAATAATATTTATGTCGATAATTATTAGATATGATACATTCATCGATTTTTTTTTCTTTTATTTTTCAGTCTAAACTTATAACTAAAGCAGAAGCTGAAGTTATTCATCAATGAAATTAAGAATTACGTAAAAATATGCTGCATTTAATAAGGAAACTGAAACAAAAAACAGATGAAAAAGACGATAAAACAAATCGGTTAAGTAATTCGAGTAATTCTTGTATATTTGTTCTATTCTTTTCATTTATATTAATTCTCCTCTTGTGACTTTTATAGATATTGATAAAGAACCCAAAGAAACAGCTATCAATGAACGATATCTTGGCATTGTTAATGTAAATTATTTTCTTCTTTCAAATCAATTTTTTTTATGTTTCTTTTTTATTTTCTCTAGAAAGAAAAACGTAAAGTTTGCCGTTTAAATAAACAAAAATTTATTTTCGATTAGAATATTGGTGAAGACACAGCTGTAGATAATAATCCAATCTATAAAGAAAAATATTAAATACAATTCTTTGATCGTGATCATTTAGCTGATATTGATATTAATAAACAAAAAGACATCAATCGAAATTTTTTGGTAATTTATTTGAAAAACAGAGTACACTCATTTTCATTCATTATTTTTCTAGATCTCGTCTTAAATGTGATCCAGCAAAAGATGAAAAATGTTGTTGTGATGAAAGTTATTGGTCTGATACAACTTTAGAAGTAATTACTGATCGAGATTGGCATATTTTCAAAGAAGATTATAATATAACAACAAGAGGTGAAAATAATTCATATCTATTATAATCATGAAATGAAGCTGGACTTGAAAAAGACATTCTTGAAGTCACAAATAGTTATTTTTAAGAAAAATAGTGAATGGAAGTTTAACTACCTGAGGACGGGAACCACATATATGTGGTTTGGTTCTGAACCACCTTTTAACTGATTTTAGAATATCTTTTATGATATTTTTCTGGTATTTTTTAAAACACAGGTTATGGGATTGGGTTGTTCTCATCGCTCTGATATTTCTTTTCTCTTCGTGGGAGAATAATCCTTACATCCAATAAATATATTAAGTGACAGCTTCGGGGGATTTCATTTTTCTCAAAAGTAGTCCCTTCTTCAGGAGGTTAAATCGAAGTTTTTGCGGCTTCGTCTCCTTCCTATAATCATTTGGTACGTTTCCATGTCAATCAAAGACAACAAACTTCAGACTTCTTTTCTACAGTACCTCAGCAACGGAAAGAAAACACTGAATGACATTAACAAGAATATGGAGAGTGTTTTGGAACATTTCAAAGCGTTTCTCGAATTATCAATGACTAGCATATGAAACAGTAATAATATGCTAGAAATTTTCTACTTAACCTATTCTGCATTAGTATAATGAAGCTAAAGAACACATATGAATTCAATATTTTGGTTCCAAAGCAGCTACGCTGACCAGTTTTTAATTGTTTTCTTCTATAGGAACAACATTCCAATTGATTTACAAAATCAAAATGTGATTGATATTGCAAAGCTGGTTTTGGCATAACAGCAGTTAAATTAATTATCACCACCAGTTGACAGATAAGATAATTTTTTTATTGATGGAATGAATAAAATTTTTTTCTTCAAAGATCTCTTAATGCTGATAATGGATCATATGATCTTATTATAGCACCAACTCATGAATTAACACAACAAATGGAAGAAGAAGAAGAAGTAGTTAAATTCGGCACAGTACGCATTTTATATTTATTTGAATGCACACATTGAATAGTTTTTTCGTTTTTTTAGCCATTAAATATAACTGTTGTCTCAATTATTGATGGTTTATCTTGTGAAGAACAAGGTTTTACACCTCGTCTTGCTTGTCAAATTGTTATTGATAAGCCAACTCGTCTTGTTGATGTATCTGAAAATCATTATTGAACATGCAACAATATGATTATGTTGTTGTGAATGAAGCTGATCGAATGATTGGTAAGAAAACTTCACTGTATTTTTCTATTGACTCTTATTAAATTTTGATTACCATTGATATAGGTTTTGAGACTGATATTAAATATATTCTTGAGTACTTACCAGTTAAAAATCAAAAGTCAGATAATGAACTTGCAGAAGATACAGGGTAAAAGAAAAACATTTTGATATGAAAAAGACAAACAAAACTTTCTTCTTTCTTCTGTATTAAGAGATTTTTCTTGAAAAGATAAATATCATCAAACAATGATGTTTACAGCAACAATAACACTAGTTATTGAGAGTTTAGGACCTAAATATCTTCGTCGTCCAGCATCGGTTTATATTGGTTCAATTGAATTTTGAACGTCACATTCAACCACGTATTATTATATCTGTTAATCAAAAGGTGTTGCCGTGTTAACTAAAGTTTTAGCTGAAAAAGGAAATAGCCTATGTACATTACACGTACGTAGTTATTTTAATTGATTTTTTATTATAAAATAATTGAGGTTTTTTTTCAATGTATTTCTATTAGGGTGGAAAATATCAAGAATGTCGAGATTTAGCTCCGGCTCAATTCAAACTAGGTCAATAAGATATTCTTGTTACGACAGCAGCCCATACATTCACCATTCCTCAAATATCAACAAATTTTGCATCGTCTATTTCTGTATCAATACATTCGTCAGCGTCTTTTCATATAGTATCATCGAATGTCTGATTGTTTCTGCATCTTACGATCACTAGGAATATGGAAGTTGTATAATTTTTTCTCAATAAAAACAACAAAGAAAAATAATACATCGCAAGAGTTAGATGCAGAAAAGAGTGTGCATGAGAGAGTCTTCCCTTTACGCACCTACACCCACAACCATCGAGAAATATTGGCTCTATAACAATCATTATTTTACTCATCCAAATAGACTTACTATGGATTTTTAAGAACTTCTTTTATTGAACTATTCAGGAGAAATTCCATAGTGAGGAAAAATTTTTGAAACTGTATTCCTTCAACAGAAAACTCAATGTAAATGTTCATTATGAAAAATAAAAACCATTTATGTCAATGGTTTTTATTTCCGTGTCCGTGTCCATGTCCTTGTCCACCGCCTTTTCCATGGCTGTCACCACTGCCACGTCGTCCTTCATCATGAGAATGTTTACGTGTCTGACCAGGTGGACCTCCGTGAGGATGATTTCCATGTGATCCGTGTCCTGTTGGAAGAACTCCACTGCAGTTGCCCATCTTCCTAATATTTATTTGACTGGTTATAATGTCAATGAGTTTGAGCGGTGTAGAGTAAACGTAGAAAAAAAAAGAAAATGAAACGAAGGTGAGATGCTTATAATATACTTTTCATAGCAAGAAAGCAATTAAATTGCATTGCATCCGGTGGTCTTACTGTCGTCGAGCAATTTAAAAGCAATCTATTTTCTCTAGAATTTTGAAGTGTTCTTTTTCAAGTGCAACACATGTGTGTGATATGCGATAGAAAATAATTTCTAGCAAATGAACTCTATGGATGCAGAAAGAAATTAAAAAAAACTCTAGTGTTACAGAAGTCGCTCTCTGCATCGATATTTTGAACAAAAAGAGAAAATTTTCTCTAATTAATCAACCGATTTATTAAGAAAATGTTCAGTTATTGATATATCACTCAAAACAAGTCCACTGATACAAGTGAGATAGAGAAAGTAGCAACATAAAGAATGAACTAAATCAAGAAAATGACGTCGAATATATTCTTTCAAACTACACATAAATAAATTTAGAGCGAAAGAAAAGACTGAAAACTTGAATAAATTCTCACGGACAAAATAGAAAGAAGAAAAAAAGATTGATCTAGATGTTTATAAAAGTGGGTATGCATACTAGAAAAGAAAGATAAAGAAATAAAAACGAGTGTTTATTAGTGTTCTTTAACAACTCTTTAGGCGTGAGAGAGATGAAATATGATCAAAGATGACATGTCTTAGAATTATAAATGAACATATCAAAAAAGATTTTCTATAAGATATAATATATTATTAATTTGTCGCCATATTTGTTTTCGATGACTAGTCGACATTCAACATCAAAAACATTTCAAGCATAACTGGTTCATATTCAATTGTCTATTTCGTATTTTATTGAAATCAATTAGCAACATAGCTAAAAAAGAAAATTTAACTGTTTTTCCTGCTAGTTGTCGTCAATTCCAAAGCTTTCAAATCAATTACATGGATTCGTCATTTTCTCTCTATTGTCATGGCTGCATTTTATTTTGTTAGATGCCTATCGTCAAGGTTAGTCTGAGGCAACCAATATTTAGAAGCATGCAACAGATATTTTGAGAGAGTGTTATAATTTGTTTGTAACAGAACGCAAAAAAAAATTGTCGACTCTACTAGAAAAAAATAACAATTTTTCTTGATTGCAAAGTATTATGTCTCCATGTAATACTTAAAACAACCGTCATTTTCTTTTATGATAAAAAAAACTATGCCGGCTAAGGGACTATAATGAAATGAAATATAATAATCATTAAAACAAACAATGATTTTGTTGATAAATAGTACTACTTTTTAGTAAAATATTCAACAAATAGAGAAAAAAAGTGAATAGTATATTTGGCATTAATTAGCTTTGACATTAAAATATTTTTTTGAATATCATTCCTATTCTTCAAAAGAAACCTAGCAACATGATCAAACAACACTTATTATGAGATATTCTATATTTTTTCTCAATGCTTTTCCTGGAATTTTTTGGATCGAGTAACGACGTTCGTTCGGTTTTTAAACAATAGATATAGTACATATTTTGCTTCACTGACAAGCTCTAATCGAAACGGCGACGTAGTATTGAATAATTATACACGATTCAAAGACATCAGTTGAGTATTAGAAGATTGAAACGATTCACAAGTTTCCTAGACAAATTATTCATATGCAATTCGATACAATTTTTGACCATAGTAAACATGTGAGCAAAGCATTTTATCGTTCGATGTGAAGTTTCAACATTGAAACTCAATTCCACGAGAACCTTTTAAATTGGGAAAATAAGATGCATATTGAATGAAAATGACCATGAATACATGTTTATAATAGTAGATAGCACTTTTCCAATAGTTATCCATCGATTCAAAATTGGAACTCTGACACAAAGAAATATAAGCATAAATCAAACACACTGAACAAGATACTGACACTACTATTTGCTTATGAACTTGACAGAAAAGTTACTTCTGATGTCCACATGTGTGACTGGCACTGAGACGAAGTCGGAAATTTCTATCAGCATTAAGATAAACGGATATTTTTTTCGTATGATTCTTCATCCTTTTGAGTTAAATGAAAAACCTAATTAAATATTCAACTTCTTTGATTCCTTTTTTTTTGGATTCAATAGTATATTCCATAGAAAATTGCCAGGATATTGTGCAAAACAAGCAGAAATATAAGGTAATTGTCTTTGAAGATTCTCTTGTTATAATCTTTCATATCTTGCGAAGAGAAGACTAATGAAATATTTACTTTCTGTAACTTTATGATCAAACACATTCGGTGTTCAATGACTTATTTTTGTGTCCCTTTGAGAAGAACTCGTTGGAATCTTCAATCTAATGTGAAACTAAGTTTCTTGAAAATAAACATCCTCATTCTCTACCTTTCTTATACGAAACACTTGAGCAAATATTTCGATTCAGCGAGATGAACAATAGTTCGTTGCAGATTTGTCACGTTATGTACGACATTCAGAGTGCTTCACTTAAGAGCAATTACTTTTGCGATGTTAATTCAAACTTTCAACAAAGTGCAAATGTTTTCTCTCGTCACCAATGTTGAATGATAAACGAATTGATAGAAATTTTACGAGACAATGTTATTGTGTATATGAGTCGTCAGTTAAGTTTAACAAAGCATCTACACTTACGAATAGTTTCGATCAACGGAAAATAGAGTACGAGAGAACGTTTCGTACACATAATGGTAACTAGTAATTATTCAAGTTTGTCATGCGACAGTTCGTTGTCAACTCGAATATAATTAGACAACAGAAAATAGCTAGATCATATGTGACAATTATTAGTTAGGGAAATGCATAAAAACGAAAGAAATTTTCAATTATTTAGCTTGATCATGATAATGGAAATGATTATTTCCAAAAAGTTACGATCTATATTGACACATCCAATTGTAATTATTGCAGGAATTGAACTAGCATGCACTGATGTAGCCCTTGCTGTTGTCATTGCCATTACTGTCGAGTTTATTGAAACATTTGTTGTTGTCGCTAGAATTAAAAACACGAAAAAAATCGAACAATCAGATTAGTAGCATAGCCAAAGCGTTCCCGGCATGAAATCTTTACTTAAGATCAGTCCGAAAGAATTCAACTGTTTTATCATAATTGAAGAGTTCTATCTATAGAATTTTGCCGCCTCTGAAACAAACAATTTCAACACACAATCAACGGCAACAGCATTGATTTTTTCTTTTCATATTTTATAACACTTAGATAGTAGATCAATTACATAAATTTCTTCGAGAGCTTCCCCTTAAGTAGTATTTTTTTTTGTAAAAGTTTCGTACTTATTTGTGCAGTTAGTCCGGTGGTGGTCAGAGTACTCGTAGTTATGCCTAAGATAAAGCAACACGTAAATCCTCTGAATTTTTTCAAAAAAAAGTTAGTGCGCAGTACTTGACGCTACAGTCGTTGATAAAGTGCCAGTCGAAATGATTGTTGTTGTAGTCGTACTTGTCGTATTCGATGCTAGAACGATAAATATTTCACTATACAAAACGGTTAAAACTCCTGTTACATGTCAATCTAATTAATAACGACTTGTTGTTTGTTGCACTTTTATAAACCCTTTTTTGGATTTGTAAAATTCTCAATTACTTTGTAGGCTTATAAATTGATTATAAACAGTAGACATCAGTGGCGAAACTGCATAGAAAAGGAAGAATTTAGAGAAGGTTGAACTCCTTCCGTTAATTGTTCATTTCTACTTTCTCGTAGACATTACTAAGTAAGGACAAATAATACTTTTGATTGAAATCCGACGAATTAGATAAGTTAGCTCCTCTGTAATGTTATCTAGTAATCCTAACAGTGAAAAACTCATTCATTATAGTTGGATTGTTTCAACTTTTCAGATTTGCATATATCATTGATGACTCAAGGACTTTTTTGTTCATAAAATAAGTCGTATACTTGTCCTGCTACAGTTGATGGTAGCTAGTTTAACCCTTTCGTTACCATAGTATAAAAAAAGCTACACCTGTTTTTAATTATTTTTCATAGCATAATTCATAAAAATTAGTATGAAATCTCTTGGAAGGAAATAATAAAGAGTATTCTAGAACCTTTCCGGAGTATCTGTGTTACAAGTATTGTCTTCATATCTGTCCTTTTTCTTCTTCTCTTTCCCTGGATGTTATATCTCTCAAAGAAAGTATATAAGCGAAATTGGTTTCGTATATTCATTTACTTTCTTCGAACAAGTCTTTCGAATGCGTTCATCTGTTACAACGATCTGAATCAACAACACATGGCTTATGTCGAATTCCTCTCTTCTATTTCAATGTCACTGATTGGTGATCAAAGTTCACGGAAAAGAAGAGGTAGACCTATTCACTTTGCTGCCCAAAAGTGTAGACGAATTCAACCGACGCCTGGGAACAAATATTTATCAACTCCATTACAAGCACATATGCCTGTTGCTGGACCTAAAGGAAGATGCGGATATTGCAGAACGAAAGCTCGTTCAATATTTAGTAACATAAAATGCAGTTTTTGTGGTATTTCTTTTTGTGTAAAACAACATAAAAATTGCTTTTTGTTATTCCATGAAAACATTCTATAAGTTTTGCAACTAGTAAACTTCAGCAGTTAAAATTTCCATTTAAGTATAACAAGGTTCGATATAACTAACATTCAGTAAATCACATGCGAGAACACATGAGTTACTTTTTACATATGTTCCTATTAGTGGTGAATTGAGGGTTTTGGCAAAGACGGGGCCGATCACTTCTTCATCCGCTTCTCAATTCGTTACTGGTCCCTATCTCTAAAAAAAAGCTAATTTAATATTTTACTCGATTTCAATGCAGAAAAAAAAATTATGTAACGAAAGGGTTAAATGTTTTTGTTGAAACGCCATCGTTAATCAGAGTTGAAGTATATAGCAACGCTTGTGAAGTCCCATCTCTTTACTAGTCTGCCCTATAGATCATGACAGACATGTCGACATTTGGAACTTTTTTCTCGTCATGAACTATGATGAGCGCACATAGATTTATCTATTATAGTGAAAGTGGCTCTCTCTTATTTTACGGTAAAATTTTCGGATCGATTGCATTGAAAAATTTTTATGATTTTTTCAAATTGAGTCTAGGAAGATTATGATTTAGCATTATTCATACGTATAGATTTTAACCCTACAGTTTTTTATTAAATGAGTCTACATATAAACGCTAACAATCACTTGAGAATTTTTTCCTTAAAACACTTCATAAGACAAATATTGTATCTTTCTATCAGCTTTTCAGAACATCGTATTATTACGTTTCATTCTTTAGATTTGTACAGTTCAATTCTACCTACCTGTACCAGAGAATTCTTCATCGCTAATAAGTCTTGGATTTGTACTATTTACTAGTATCCAATCATTTGATTGAAAGCAATCTCGATATGCTGTATAAACACTATAATTAGTCCACAAACTATCTCCACGAATTCCACCGAATATAGCCCAATCAGTTTCTTTGTCTGTATTAAAATATGAAGCAATTTTAATTTGTTTATTATTTATATATGTACAAAATTGTTGTAACCAATCATATTTTGCTGTTATATTAGAAATATTTCCCGTACGTATACTTGTTGATGCATACTCATTTATACATATTGGTTTTGTTGAAGATAAATTTTGTAATCGTGTGATCATATTGTCGAAAACTTGAGTCGGATTTGACCATGAACTCCAACTTTGACTTGTACCAAAATTGTATCCATCAATTCCCATCCAATCAACATAATTTTCTCCAACCCAATAATCTTCGGCGGTGTAACTACCTACATCAGCATTATTCACGCACCAAATCCATTGAAGCCTAGTCGAATCTAAACTTTTGTTTGTGAATATATCATGTATATGATGCCATGCCGCAATGAAATCTTGTGGAGTTGAGCTCATCGACCATGGATACCAATTTCCATTCATTTCATGAGCTAAAATCATTCAATAAAAAAATTTTATTATTTGTATAGTTTTTATTCGTATACATTTCGTTCGCAAGAATCAATCAGCAGCTGTTTGAACTAGCTAATTAAATAAGAAATACTCTTGCAAAAAATATTTCTACCAGATTTTTTTACGAATTTATACAAAAAGTATCTCTTGGAAGTGTGAAGCTTTCATAATTTGTAGAGTCTTAGCTAGTGATCATTCTAGTATCTTTGGATTTGAGAAAATGAAGTTACATCTAGAAACATGAATGGTCAGATTTTCTTACATTATCAATGGGTAAACTGCATTCCATGATGTCCGTATGTTTTCCAAAATGAGTTTCGTTCCAATCTCTACATGTCTAAAAACTTTTATACAATTTGTAGCGCTAGTAGTGCAAATTGATGTGTATTAATCTCTTCATTGAGTTCAAGATAGGTGAAAAGTTCATTTAGAAGCATGAAACATTATGGAATTGTAAATATTGAGATGGCAATCAATTCAGAATAATTAGATTTGGAAAAGTATATTTACATCAGGGAATGTTTTTCACAGATTGCTAAGAAAAACTGACTGTTTCCGTGCCTAGATATCAGTATATCATCTCAAATTCAACAAACTGGAAGAATCTCTAGTCCAAGCATTATAAACTCGAAAAGTTTTTTTGTTTCAAGCAGACACTTTTGCATAAACTGGTACATAACTGGTGAAAATACCAAAGAAATATATTGCTATTATCAAAGTTCAAATGAAAGAACTTGGACTGTTGTGTGTGTGAACATTTAAGTGAAATGAAAATACTGATACACAACTACACCTTCACTCATAGTTGCAGCACTCGCGCTTACCCACTTCCTCAAATATTTTGGTCCAACAGAAAATCATCATCAATTTAATATCAAGTGATATTGAGATTTTACGTATGAAATAATAACTCACAATACAACATTAACTGATCTAAGCCGAAAAGCAACCGATAGCTTTTGATAGTCGGAGTACTTGTTCTAACTACTAGTCTTAAGTAATAATAAAGTAGCCAACAATCTATAAATAGTAGTATGAAAAGATTGAAATCAGTGGTTTGATAAGTCTTTCTTTTCGAGATGGATAATTTAAGTCGCTGAGGAGGCGCCTATTCACTTTCGAGGAGACAACTGTATAGATTGAAAATAATGGATAGTTTGCTATTAACTTGGATGGTTTACTCAATGAAAACATCAATCTTTAAAGTTTCCTATGATTAATGAAATTCATGTATCATTATATTTACACTGCTTCCTCTCTTGAAAAACACATGTTACAAGTTTTGAAATGAATATCATACCTAATCGCAAATATGCTCTTCGATCATCACTGCTGCCCAAAACCCCATCAGTTCCAGCTAACCAAGTTTTCAAACGATTTCCAAATTGGTCTATGTACGCGTCATAAGTGTTATTTCGAACAAGACTCATTATACCCGGTTGACTACTACCACTACAACCAAATAATTCCCAGGTAATCACTGGAATACTCTGATTATTCCATATATTATTCAGTTGATAATTGAATAAATTATTCATTGATGTATTACACCAATCAGTAAAAAGTAATATTACTATTGGACGTTTACCGATCCACGATGAAATATATTCAATTTCATTCATGGCCCAGCCTTGATTCCCATAATAAATTGATGGCAACTTACTACTGATAGTTCCGCAAACGTTGATCATTAGAGTAATTAAGAATATAAACAGTAGTATTTTATTCAAATTCATGAGCAATTCTTTTTATCTATTACATGGGCACATAAGTTCTGCACGTTTTTTTTTCGTGTTTTAGGCAACTTTCAAGCGTTATATCTCGTGATTAGGAAGTGATAGAGGTGTGAAATTTTTAAAGCAGATAGAAGTCATAGAGACCTATTTATACTAAAAATTTCAGACCTCTATCATATTCTAATCATGAGATATAAAGTCTGACAGTTGCATAAAATATGAAAAACAAACGTGCAGAACTTTTGTGCCAATGTAATATATGCTTAGAGAACAAATCATTTTTATATTTTAAGCCGGTGAGGCAATAGTGTGAAAATCGATAGATTGGTTCAAATGACCTTAGTAAACTTGAATACTACATTGAATAACTATTGAACACAGCGAACATATCAACGTGGACATTACGTAAAGAAACGAAAGTGAACTTTTTCGATACTGAAATCATGCTTACACAATTTAATTAACGACGAGTTGTTTGGTATCAAAAGCTTTGTTACAACTGTTAGATTCATTTGAAAAACTTAGTGGCAAAAGAGGTAAAATGCCAGTACCGTCCGAGAAAATTCAGAGAAAGACTTAACTTTTTTAAAAATAGTGAAAAGAGTTGGACAATATGTGACAAACAGTAAACCATTTGAGGATGTGATTTTCTATTCAGGGCTGTTGCTAACATTTGCTAGAAAATACAACACTATTTGATTTAAACATTGTATTAAAATACGTTTCTAGAAGGCTGAGCTACCATAAACCCTTTTAAAATGTTTTGAAAAACTTTGTATTGTTATATTCGAAATCATTGTACTCAAAAATCTACAAGAAAATATTTTACATTCACAACTAGGCATCTTGGTCTGCGAAAAACAACGATTTGTTTAAAAAAAAACATCTTTCAAATACTTCTGAGCTCTCGAAGCCACTCTACATGCGAGAGTACATGCGAAAATTTACAAACAAAGCAACTTTTTTGTGTATTGAATTTGTATCTTACGTCAATTTTTACAGAAAATATTCAGAATAACTTGAGGCAATCCAAAAGTAGTGACGGAGATACTTTATTTCTGTGTCAAAACTTTCTCTTCATATACAGTAATAGAAAAAAAACAACGCCCTACTTTGTACAACCTACGTATATTTTCGAAGAAAATAGTGAGTGTAAGTTATAAGTTGAAGTTTTGCAGCTATCCCCTAGTTTCCATTACAACTTTTTGAAATCTAGAGCAACCGAAATTGAACTCCTTTATCAGAGTTTCTTAGCAAAGGAAAAAGGTGATGGATGGTTTTAACATTAGCGATATGACTTAGTCTATTCTAGTAACAAACGTTTGTGAATGTTTCGAATAGTGCGATTTTAAATTTTTGTGAAGATAAAAGTTTACACTCAAGATATCAGCAATTATGAGTAATGATGGATTGGTTGGCCACAGCTATTATATAATCAACATCAAAAGCGTGACTTGATCGAGTTACAACTTAGAAAAATAATCATCGTCAGTGTTAATAAGTTGATAGAAACATAGAATAGTGCATTAAGATCTGTTTCTGTAAATAGTCTTTATATATTCACAACAACTTTATTTGCCATTTGATTCAATTTTTATAATAGAAACAATTGTAAACAAACGAAATACGAAGTATAAAGAAGAAAAATAACAAACGAATAGCAACAATGTAAACAAAAAATTGAGTACCCGTAAAAAAAAGAAACGTAATTCTGTTCGAAATGTAGAAATAAAGAAGACAAACTCTTGCTATGATGATTGATTATCTTGAAAAACAACAATAGTCTAACAGATATTTCTTACTTTACGTATTTTTGTACTAGTTTAACAATAGTAAGAAATCTATGTGAGTTCTACATTTCAGTCCAAAACGGGCTTGCTAACAAGCTTTTTCTATGATATTTCAACATTCTTCAGCTAGCATCATAATAATAAAATTTTGATAAGAGCTGTGTGTTGTAATATGTGATGATCATATTACCTTCATTTTGTATCTTCTTTTCGATCTTTTACTCCGTTTTTCTTTTTTTCCCTAGCTTCTTATAAAAACAAGCCGTCTATATACACTAGCGTATATAAAAAAAATTGCCATAACGGCGCAAAGAAGAAATACAAAAATTCATCAGCTTTCACTTCATCAAATTTTTTAAGTAGTCGCTCTTATTACTCTCATACAGTCAGAAATGACTCTTGATTGAATATTGAATACAGAATGCAATTTAATGAAGAAATGGAAATATTTCTTATCTTTCTGAAACAGATAAATGATGACACTTGTCTTTATATATACATATATGTATAGATGGCTAGGCTTTAGAGTAGACAATATTCAAACAAGTAAGAATTTCTGAATACGTATTTAAATGTTCTAATCGCAATTTCTGTTTGAGCGTTTACGCGTTCATTCAAAAATGACAACAAAACTAGCTACTTGCATCATAAAAAATGGGTGAAAACGCTTAAAAAACCAACTCATCCTTTTGAAAAACGTCCACAAAGTTTTTCTCATACAATTTTTCGCATAATTCACGCATGAAAAACAAGTCACTTTTGTTGAGAAAATATTGCAAGTAAAAAAAAACTTATACGTTTTCCATATGGAAAATTTGTCTTTGTAAGCGTCTGCATGGATCTTTTACGATGACAGTAGCTAGTTTTGTTGTTTTCTGAAGAGACATGAAAAACCTACCTATGTTTATTATAAATATTTATTCAAAAATGATCTTACACCTAAATATTGTTTCTAGTTAGTAATAAACATCGCAACACTTTTCGTCTACATAAGGCTTATATCAAATGCTCAGTTTTTTTTCTTATTCTTGAAATCATTCAAAAACAAGAAACAATGCAAATGTTGGCGTCATGCTTTTTAAGATAGTAGAAGACTTTGAAGTTAATGAAGCCTTTTATATACTTATATGCTCTCATCTGTGCAGTTAAGATTCGATGCACTTTCTATTTTTCTCGTCTTATATTCATCTGTTGTTTTTCGGATTCTACGATTCAAGCAAAAGCAAAAAGTTGCAGTTTTTCTTTCATCGTCGTGCAATAGTTTGTACAGTACCATATTCCACTGAATAGGGAGACAGAGCTTAATGGACTTTTGTTTTTCATCATCTGAAAATCTCATTAGAGAAGATGATGGAGAAACAAGTTTCTACGATCATGATGTTGACCTTGGTACGTTTGTCCCTTCGTTTGTTTGGGTGGTGCATCGATTGATTCTCCAAACCCGAATGAATCGTGGACGTGGAAATGTGGTGTAGGTGAATTAGAAACCCTGACCTCAACCTCATAGCAATACATCAAAGATAACCCACACCCACACTGTATATGCATTGGTGACTACCCTTTAAAGAAGACAAATAAAAAAAGGAAAAAGAAGAAAAGATCAAGAATAGGACACACAACGCAGACAATACTGAAGCAGACGAGAATTTCTGAAGACGCATATAAGCGCTCTAATCGCAGCTTCCGTTTGAGTGTTGTCACATCCATCTAGGAAGCATCAAAATCAACTGTTTTAATCCTTAAAAGTAGGCAAAGATCTTTAAAAAAAACAACTTTTGCATCTTTGAACCATGAAAAAGTTTTTCCGGCAGTAGTTTGCAGTTTTTGGCAGATAGAAATGACGTTTTCATTCGTGGCTTATGTGAACAATATTGTGATCAAAAGTGGACATAAAAAGGGTGTGGGGATAGGATGACTTGCATGCGGATCAACATGAGAATTTTCCATCCATATCCACACATCAAATGTCAACAATGAATTTTATTGTGAAATAGCTCATGTCTGTAAAAACTTTAGATACTTATTCCATTACTCGCTCCTCATCAAATGCTCAAGCATAGGCGGACAGCTTCAACAGAAACCAATTATATGAGATAGAGACTTCGTCTAATGCAAGTTAGAATGAATGCAAAACCTTATTCTAACTAATCATGAAAGTGCACTACACTTGATCTGTAGTAGTCGCTTTGAGAAAATACTACACAATAGAAAAGTTAGAGAGATTTTTGCAAAGAATATTTGTTTGATATTGACTTGTACATGACAAAAAACGAAAAACTATGTGCCCTGAAGAAAAAGATTTATTTATTTGACGTTCCCCTTGCAATGAGACTCCAGTCGAGTGACATTGCACTATTAGCATCATGTGTATCTGCTTTGCTGCGAACATCTTGCTTGGTTGTGAAGATCAATACTCGGTATCGGTCTTGTTCGATTTCTGCAAGATATACAGCGTCCACGACTACAAAATCGAAAGCATGATTTTTTCCGATAACAATATGAAAGTGCTCGTTGGAGTATTGCTTGGTGAGTTCCTTGCGAAGATAGTCACTAATATCTGCGCATGTGCCCATCATTGTTGGAAATGTCTGACTAGTGTGAAATGCAATATTAACCAGACGTTCACAGGCCTTGCCGAATTCTTCTGAGCTTGCAGCGACAAGAACAGCACGTGGATGATACGTAGACGAAGTCTGATTAAATGATATTGTGTCCAAAGTGTGACTGGACAGTTGCATTGTACTTCGTTGATCACTACTGCCTGGAGTAAATGTAGATGATCGTCTTTTCTTTTGACGATGTTGATCTGCAGCATCGATAGTGGCAGTTGTAAGTAAGCCCAATCCAGTACCTAATAGTGTTCCGAGCAAGTGATCCATTGAGAATGTGTATTAATGAAATATAAAACACAGTTGTATAGAAGTTTCACAATATTCAGTTGTATTTTATAGAATATTTTATAATAACGCACTCACGCAAATGTATCACTTGATTTTAAGAGAGATAGTGACATTATGAGGCCGGGGCGTGTTTTGTAATATGACCCACAGATGTTGTCAAACAGAATGGTGTATATCATTGGTTACATTCGCCTTA